ATAATCATACACATTTTTGAAATATTTTGTCTTCACAAAATATCTCAAAAATGTGTATGCGAGTAAAACATTAAATTCGGGTCAAACATATCTGTCAATGTTAATTTACCTGAAATTAAAGTCATAACTGTCCTGTAGCATAACAGAGTCATGGTTCAAGAAAAATAAACTAAATAATTTTATTTTTATTGCAAGATGTTAAAGATATCACGTAGTGTGTATTATTATCACGTGTTATTATTATTTTTAAATTTTACCAAAATTCTCATCTCCCCTCTTAAGGAGAGGAGATGGCAACTAACCCCCGGCAGAAGCACAGTCGGCCGGGGTTCAGGGCCCCAGGGAGAGAAACCGGCGTACAATGCGGGCAGAATCTAAGAGCACCGCTTTCTGCATCTTTCCCGGGAGTGAGCCGCCTCGGAATCCCAACCGTCTGAGATGTTGTTCCAGACTGGTTGGGATAAGACCGTTCACCGACATAACGATTGGGATGATTTCGGTAGATGTCACCCCCCACATTTCGGTCACCTCGTGAGCCAGGTCGAGATATTTTCTCTTCTTCTCGGTTTCGGCTTTCATGAGGTTCTCGTCATGCGGTATGGTGACATCCACCATTATTATTTTAGCCGTAAACTGTCCACTGTTGGACATAAGCCTTCCCCGTAGGGAGAGATTCGCCAGTAGTTGCTTGGCAGGCGGATTGGCAACCGCAGTTTCGCTTTTAAAGATATTTTAAGATGGATGCTGCTGCCCATCCTTCGCCCTTCCATAGTCGCCTCTTACGACACCCACGGGAAAGGAAGGGGTGGCCATTCTATGTCAGGGCATACACGGCGAGCACGTGTTATTATAAATGAGGTTAATCTATAAATTTCAAAATCAGTATTTTGCTCCTAGTCACAATACTATTCGGTATCATATATTTCAGCAATATACAGGTCAATCTATTACGGTAGAACATCTAAAATTCTCTCTCTAACTGAGATTCAATGATCGACTGCTGAAATCTCGTGAATATCCGTGCAATGTATTCATAGGATTTCTGATCTAAATAGCTTCACACAGGCCCCCGTAATAGTACCGCGTAATGCATCAACAGCCTCCAAATTCCCAATTACCCTGGCCGTATATCCTCCCCGCATGATTTCCGCATTCATAACTTAAACGTTTTCATCTCGCATGCGTCTAGGATATCATTTCATAGTTTCCCCATCTGCTTTTCGTCAATATCTCAAGTCGATTTTGTAAAACTGATTTATACCACATGGCATGCTACCATTTATTACATTACATAATTTATGTACAGTAAAGTCACGAAGTTAAAAGTTTGAAAAAATTTAAGCAGATTGTTTTTTATTCTGAAAGACATAATCTTAAGTATTTTATCACTAATTAGATCACTGTTTTTTTACACAATAAAATTAAATCTTAAATTTCATTTTTGTACTTGTTTATAATTGCGACTCTTTCTCAAATACTATTTATTTAAACATTAATTCACAATTACATGATATAACTAAGTGTACATATGGTGGACTTAACACCTAATGGCGTTCTCTACAAGTCAACCTTGAGGCAAAATTCTGTTTTAATAATAAAAAGTATATTTCCATTAAACTTTGAATAAGATCTTTAGACATTTTAGAAGAAATGCTTTATAATTATATTATTTTATTTTATTAATAAGACAGTATTAATATTCAATTTTATCACAATTGGTTTAGCAAGTAATCAAACTCAATTTTACATTTATTTTATAGTTTTAGTAAAGAAATAAGTATTATTAACATAGTAGGGTCTTTTTCGTGAGTAAAAATAACTTGTTTCTTCCAATATACGATTATATATATTTCGTAATCGTGAAAAGTGTCTGTAATAAACTTTAATAAACGTGAGCACTAGAGCGAAACAGTAAATTGACACTAATTTGACATTAAGCTCCCCGTGAAAACTGAGCAACTGATAGAACGTTCTCGTAACTATATAAAATGAACTTTACGCTTAAGGATTTAAGGCCCATGTTGTTTGCAGAAAACATCATCAAGCTGTGAGTTGACAGCAGAATTGAATGTTTTTACGGTGACAATAAAGTACCTTGTACATCCCCAGTGTATTTATTTTAATAACAATTTTATAACTGTTTGTGATTTTTTTTTCAGGGAATTATTTGATTTACCTCTTGAAGCCTTAAATTAATTATTAAGAAATTTGACATTTAAACAATGTTTGGAAAGAGCATAGGCTATTTTTTATCTTGGTCAAGGGATACAGTCAGTATTATCAATACATATAATAAAATCGTAATTGATTGCTGTCTGTATATGGAAGATATATAAGAAAACTATTATAGGGGGGCTTTATGAATCAAAAACAATAAATTTTAGAATTTTTGTCTATTTGTCTGCATGTTTGTCTCCACTCATCTCAGAAACAGACCGACTTGAATGCAGTTTCCACGTTGTGTTTTACTTCACTTAATATTTAGCATTTATTTCAATCAGTTCGTAAATAAAAAAAATGATATATTTCTAAAAAATCACATATAAAATGCTATAAAATAACTGATCAGTTGAATTGGCTGAAACTTTATGAAGGTATTGGGTACGTAATTATCATTTAAGTATATAATACAGTATATAACCGGATTCATGAAGAGTTCCAATGGGCATGATATACGGGAATTACATAGATAGAAGCAAGTAACGCCACGGGAAACGGCTAGTGTTGCATATAGTAAATAAATCTTTAAAATATCCTTACACAATAGTAAGAATCCCGTAACATTACTTAATTTTAACTTTTATAAGCCACTATTGACGGTATTTAGATACTTCTCAAAAACATCAAGTACGTTTTTAATTATAAAGAATTTTATCCGTTCGTACCATCATGGAAATTGCTTATTAACTTCTCGCTGGAGCGTTGAAATTGGAATATTGGCTTCTCAATATGGAATTTCATTAATATATTATATAATTAGATAATTTATAAATTAATTTCGTTAAATATTAATTAAATCGTATAAATAATCATCTAAATAGCACTCTTAGATGATTATTTATACATCAGTAAATCAAAATTCTGGCTAAATATTTTGATAAACATATCTTAAACGTAAAATAATTCCATTTTATTTCAAGGTCTATTGGATTTTCCAAAGGGATAGCGGAATATTTATGTAAACGGTAGCACTAACGATACAATCGTATATAAAGATATCCATTGCTCGATTCCATTCTCGAAAACTTAGCAATCGCAAGCAAAATGGCGTTGTAAAAGGTTCTTTTTAAGATTGAACCGTTGTTTTCATTATACAGAGGCCGGTACAGGCATACAGGGGGACTTTCAGCCGATCGTTTCACGTGTCAGCGTATATTATTATAGGATAAATTATCACATTTCCTTTGGGTCGCATTTTTGAGGGGGAATGAAAATAGCAGCCGCTTTTTCGTGTGAACACGTTTGAATTGATTTCGTGAGATTCCAGTAAACAACCGATGCGACATGTTTTTTAAACATGGATAAACCTATTTGCACCCTGTATTATTAACAGGAAAAGACTTCGTGGCTTATTCAAAAACTTTATACTATAAATATAAAAATATATTATATACTCGTATTATAAACTCATTTTACATTTATATTACTCTTACAGATTATTTAAATTCACAATTTTCTTCTGTTTCATATTTAAGTCATTTGTTTATTTTTTACGAAGAATAACAACTTGTTATCGATTTTTTTTTATATAAAATGGACGCAAATAAAAATCATAATATCTAATAATATAAGACAAGTAAAAAGCAAAAAAATGTAAAAAATAGAGTAAAATTGATTTGTAGTAACAAAGAGTGGTTATAACATAATGAATTGCTAATCATTTCTGCTGTAATAGAAACTGATTTATAGCAAGCAACATTCATTAAGTATTTACAACTTGACCACAATCAATAAAGTTTAGTTATGTTAAAGCCCTTTCAAACTTCTCAACTCCAGAGAATCAAGTTTATAAAGTTCAAGGGCATTTCATCCATATATTTGTGTATAATATAGGTACATCGTATGACGTAATAATTCAGGAAGCTAAAGATTTATTCTTGTGATTTACTGAGATAAAAAGGGAAGGTAAAACGGAAAAGGAAGATATTACGTGATCGAGTTAATGTAGTTAGAGAAAAAAATGGACAGTGTTTTTTTATCAGTCCCGGGAAGTGAAAATATTTTTATAAGAAAGTATAAAAATAGATTGCCCCAATAACTAACAACGCTACAGAAAATATAACAGCATCCTATAAGAAATATGCAGTAAGATTATATGAAAAAGTAAAATATAAATAGACAGTAAATATAAGTAATAAAAAAGTCATAAGTTATTGGACAAAAATAAATATTTTATGGTGGCATTTCAACATCACCATAGTCAAGCCTATCGATTGAGATTTTATAGTTTCCCATACAATAAGCAACTTTATAGGTTTGATAGTAAAGATGGCCGGATCAAGTTCTATAAATAGCAAACAAATCTATCAAAAATACTCGGTATTTCTGAGTGTATATATTTGATAAAAATATTTCAAGAGATCTGCTCTATTGTCAAAATATCTATCTTTAAAAATATCTCTGATTACAATATGACATCACATTTTTCATTTATAGAACCTTTGACAAATCCAAGAAGAGTATATTCTTCGTTCACTTGTATTTATATGTATATATTACACGATATATTTTTATTTTCTAATACCTTACGGTATCTTATCTTCTACATCAATTCTGTTATATCTTTTTCCGATCCTGTATTAATTTTATCACTTTTATAACTGCTATTTTTACGGAGAAAAATCGTACTTAAATACCACTTCACCGTCAATTAACTAATTGCAGATAATATTTTTTATAATGCATCTCTTATAGTATTATAGTCTTTTAGACAAGAACAACGTTTTTTTTTTATTCTACATCACTAAATGAAGTATTAAATGACATTTCATTTGTTACAGATGTTGAAGTTACAAAAATCATAGTGGCACATCGTAATCGGACCGACGAATGTGAAACAAAAATGATAACATGATGAAATATGTTACGAAACGGACAGTTTCATAAAGCACGGACTAAGACCTGTTATCCGAGCATGTGTGATTATGGTACCAGAACAAGCGCATATAAGAAGAACAAATACAGATATCCCGCCCAAATAGTTTATTTCAATTTATATTGCATTTTAATCGTGATGTGTATATCTATACAAACTGCAAATTCTAATACTACAAATATGAATCGTCATTTCAATGGTAAAAGTGCCAAAGATAGTTCTAACAATCATCAAAGTGATACACCACACGATGACAATTATGATGATCATGACACCCACGTAAATGAAAATGAAGATTACACTAAAGTCAATTTTGATCACAATCCGTATTATAATAGTGAAAGTTTTGTACATTTGAACAATAAGTTTTACAATACCGAAAATAACGCTTACAGCAATTATGAAGATTACAAGAAATATTATTTGAATCCTTCAAACCCCAAGGCTAATGTTAAATTTAAAATAAGTAGCAGAATAGTTCAAACCAAGTATGGAAAATTACAGGGCATAGTATTGGCTATGGATGAACACAGATATTTAAGTCCCCTTGAAGTTTTTCTTGGTGTTCCTTATGCTACACCTCCGGTTGGATCTAACAGGTAAAGTGATTTCAATTTGATCATAAAATTTTATCTATTCAATATTTAATATGACAGTTTATAATGTGTATTTTATAAATGACTTTTTTAAATGCTTGTTATTAAAATTATTACAATTAATTAAATCAAAAACGTAAAGGACACAATAACTACTGCTAAAACATTACAACAATAATAATTGTCTTGCTACTTAATACCTGAACTTGTCATAATATTAAAAACATTAAGAAGAAATTTTCTGAGAACCTAAAATTATTTCTTATATTATCATCTTCTTAGAAACTAATTATTAATATAAAATTCGTACATAAATTATAATATTAATTATTACAAGTGCCGTTAAGGTTTTTACAAATGCAACCATTACTTAAATATTAATTAACTAATGAATGTTTATGAAAGTATCTTGATATGATACTTTTGCTCAAATCATGTTTATATCACTTAGGTGTCACTCACACATGATATATGACTTCAAAGATACATTTTCCTCCAAATAGGCTTCATTTGCCATATAACGAAATTTAACTTAATAACGTTAAATTTGGGGTTTAAATTTAAGAGTCAACAAAATTTTGTTGACTTTTTAATTGGCGATAAAATAAAGGTTTAATTTTAAGCGTCAACAAAATTTTATTTGACGTTCAAAATCGCACCCTAATTTGAAACATTATTAAATTCAATTTGTTCTGACAAATTAGATTTTGTATACTAACTAGAGTTATAGAAAGAGCATCATCATCAAAATTATTTATGTCCTTAAATGTCCGAAAATGTCCTAACATTTCTGGTATTTTATACACGTCAATATTCTTTTAATCTTATCATTTAATTTAACTATTTAGTATAAATATAAAGTACTTACTGTTAAATATCAGCGGAATTGTATGTATATTTTTTTAGATTCAGTCCTACTAGGACACCATCACCGTGGGATGGTGTAAGGGTATCAGACAGGCCGGGTCCAGCTTGTCCACAGAAATTACCAGATCTAAACGATGAAAGGACCATATTAGAAAAAATGCCTAAAGGCAGACTAGAGTATATGAAAAGACTGATGCCTTATCTTAAGAATCAAAGTGAAGATTGTTTATATTTGAACATATTCGCTCCTTTGCAAAGTAAGTAAATAAAAAAGGTAACGGTACAATTATATGATTTTGGAAAGAAAAAGGAAACATACTTAACATATTTATTATGATAATGGTTGAAATAATAGCAGAATTTTCAACAATAACTGAAAATGCACTCAGCACGAATACCTAAGAGATTCAGAATATTCTAATGTTAGATTTAGCTTGTATTATTTCTAAATATAGATCTTCTTCTTTGAATTCTTTGAGTTCCACTTCTAATGAAGGATGGAAAACATAATTTATTAATTATTATAAATATATCCGAATATATTCAATATAAATCAACGTTTTGCTTCATTTATATAAATGTAATTCATTTTCGAGACACCTTCCTCGTATTTTAAACAATCTACTATCTCGTTGCTATAGGATGTAGGTATACCTTTCCCTTTCTATCTGCCTACTTGTAATGCCCAGTAATAATGTTTAATTTACAAATAAATTACACGATTAATTTCGTATTTCTCTTTCTATATAGAGTTTCTGTCTCTTTTTCTGTAGCCCCGTAAATGAACTGTAATAACGTGGAATATATTATTAATTTCGGACTTTTTTAGGACGCAAGATTATTTAAATTTGTAAGCTCCACCGGAGACGCAAATTTTAATTTCATTTAATTATTTTTTCATCGCAATATAGATTTTTATCTTCGGACTAAGTAATAAATACGATTAACCTAATTTGTATTAAGGTTAATGAAATCTTACAGAGAACTCTAATAATTTGAAATTAAAAACCAAGAACTAGATTTAATCATACAATCTATCTCTTATAAGGAATTTAGCTGTGTTAAATTTTCACTCCGGCTACTTGTTTACGAGAAATTCTAAGAGTTCATTAGAAACATTATTTATAGAAATTCAAATTCTAACTTAGAAATGATATTTATGTAGGCGAATTGATCTAATTTGAAAATTTATTTTATATTTATTAATAACAACAAAATAATCTGAATTAATGTGCTGAGATCTATAATCTCTTATGCCGGAGCTGGGTAATAAACTAATTTCTGTTCATCACTTATTTTAGTTAATTTCGTTGTTTATTATACTATTATAATATCGCCGAATCAATTTCTAAATATATTATATATACATTTATTTGTAAAAAGCTTTAACTATATGTCTAAACTGATACGAAAAATATCTTTTTCTATGCCAGTTAGTTGCAGTAGACAGATAGCGGCTGATAAGATAATGAATTTAATTTCAAATGTTTAAAACATAGTATAGTGCAGCATCGAGCCATCGCGTGTAACTCAGCGGTTAACGTACAAACTTTTCAAAAGTCTGTGCAGCGTCACATCGCTTCGTAAAAAATAAAATTTTAGACGATAGATATTTTACATTTACTTTAAGAGATAGTAATACCTTAATACACTCCTTTGCATATTAGATTGAAATAGTTAGAGAAATGGGAATTAATTCGAATGTTATATTTATAACATCAATCAACATCAAGTCGATTAACGCTCTTGAATACAATATCTAATATTACAGTTACGAGTTACAATACAATTGTATGCGAAGTAATTTTGCATAAATCGTCATAAATCTTCACTGAAATTGTAGAGATGTTATTGATTTTTAATATAATTCCCCCATTTTCCATTCTATAATCGAGTGTATAATTAAACGGGCCTTATCAGCTTGAATCTTCAATAAATATTTAATTTCTCCAATTAACTCTGCGTCCGGATATTTAAAATTTAAATGGGAATTTGAGTTGAAGAAAAATTTACTTCGATATAATTGAAACTTTTTGACATTTGCACAGGATCGCCTAATGAGGCAAAGCTTTGTATAAATCCAATATTTCGTTCTCTAATTTAGATCAATGTGTGAAGTGAATCTTTATAACATGGTCCAGTTATTTGGTTTTTCAGAATCGTAACCTTCCTTAACATTACAATTACCTCTTAAAAGCTGTGAAAAAAAATCTGTTTTCATCAAAACACTTTCACGATTACATTAATTTATGATATTAGAAGTTTAGCACTCTAAAAGTTGCACCAGTAACGGAGAAATTGCGAAGTAACAGAATGTCTCGGTACGGTCATATTATGTACAGAAACGAAAGCCATGTTTTAAAAAAAAGTGGATGGATGTCAAGTGAAGGACGGCCGAAGAAAAGGTAGATGGACTGTGTAAAAGATGATCTACATCAAATAGGAGTGAATAAGAATAAGAATAAGAATAAGAATAATTTATTTGCTCGAAATGTGGTACAAAGGTCTTAAAATGGTAACTGAACTACACATTTCGCCTTATCTAAAGGCATGCAAATTTTGTCTTAGCACATGTTAAGTAAAAGTTTATCAATTATGTATGTCCAAATAATTATTCTAAATACATATTAATTGTTACATTGAATTAGTTAATTATGTCAACATTTAAAAATAGTCGATATTATAGTTATGAAGCATTAAAATTGTACATGTCATATTATTAATATTATTACGTAAAATGCATTCTTAGTCTAATCTGCCATTCAGACTTACAAATTCTTTTATCGTGTAAAAACACTTTTCATTAAGCCAATTTCGTAGTTTTCTTCGGAAAATTTCAAAGGGCATTTCACGAAATGACTGGGGTATCTTATTGTAAATATTTATGCACATCACAAAACAATTTTTATGATAAAAGCTACTCTTACATATAGGCATGTGTAGTTTGGTAGGGTCCCTTTTGATAAATTTATTAATTTCACAAATTTTATTAAATAACTGTGGGTGTTTTTTAACAAAGATTCCAATTTCTAAGATATATAAACTCGTAACTGTTAATATTTTTATATCTTTAAAATAGTTTCTACATGATTCCATAGGCGCTAATCCACAGATAGCTCTAACGCATTTCTTTTGTGAAATGAATACTTTGTTAATCAATGTTGCATTACCCCAAAGTAAGATTCCATATCGCAATATAGATCCAACGTAGCCATGATACGCGGTAAGAGCTGCATTTTTACTGGCTGTATTGCGTAGACGTCTGAGTGCATATACAAATTTATTAATTTTAGTACATAACACATTTATATGGATCTTCCAATTACAATTTTCATCTAACGTAATACCTAGAAATTTTACTACATTATCTTTGGAAATTAATTTGTTTCGATATTTTACTGTTAGGTTCTTATTTGTGGAATTGTAATTAGAAAATTGGACATATTTTGTTTTCTCTGTATTTATACATAGTTGATTTCTATCAAGCCAGTCCGCAATCTGCGTAAGTGTTATATTGATCCTATCATTATAATTAATAGCTGGATCATTATGTGGTACTATTATCGAGACGTCATCCGCAAATAATATACATTGTTCTTGAGTTGTATCAGGTAGGTCATTTACACTTATTAAGAACAGAAGAGGCCCTAAAACGCTTCCCTGAGGGACACCTGTTTTGTTACAAAGGAAAGTGGATCTATATGCTGAGGAATTTAAATTCTTATCAATGCGATTAATTTCTACACACTGATATCGGTCACGTAGATAGCTCTCTACCCATTTTAAGGCTAACCCCCTGATACCAAATAATTCACATTTGTCCTTTAGTACGTCATGATTAATTACATCAAAGGCTTTGCTCATGTCTAAGAAAATAGCTGTAACTGGTGTTTTTTTATCTATACAATCTGTGACGGAACTAACTAAAGTGAAAGCTGCCAATGTTGTGGATTTATTTTTCTGAAATCCGTTTTGTGATTGTTTAATCACATCGAATCGGTTAAAAAAATTCGTGAGGCGTTTATGCATGGCTTTTTCAAATACTTTGGACAAGTTTGAGTTTAATGCTATAGGTCGGTAGTTGCCTAGTTCAAGTTTGCTATCTTTTTTATGTAAGGGCTTTATTATAGCTGTTTTTAATCTCTCTGGGAATACACCCTGAGTAAAAGAATTGTTAATAATGTGGGTTAATACAGGTGCAATAATATCTGCACAGGATTTTAAGATAGTGGTTGATATCTCATCAAATCCTATGGACTTTGTATTTTTTAGTGAAGATATGTGTTTAATAGTTTCATTACTACTACAAGGTTCCAGGAATATAGTTTTATCCAATTGGTTTGTGGCGTTTTTATTACTGCGATGTAAGTGAGAATTTTTGGAATTATCAACCACAGAATTAAAAAAATTATTGAAAATATTAGCTATCTTTATTGGGTCTTTTTCTATTTTGCCATGGTTTTGTACAGCTTCAATTTCCTGGTAACCTTTTCCTGTATCGTTTTTGTCTTTAATAATGTCCCAAGATGCCTTACATTTATTTTTGGAGTTACTTATGTAGTGATTGTTAACATGTCTTTTTGAGGTATTTATGCATTTTTTTAATATTTTATCGTAAGTTATAAAGTTTATTTTATTTTTAATAGATTTTTTTTTATATGCCATGTATCTTAGTTTCCTTTTTTGTATACAAGATACTTTAATTCCCTTAGTAAACCATTTTGGACATGATGTGTTAGCATTAACTTTTATGCGTACTGTAGGAAAGCACAAGTCATAAAACATAACAAAAATGTCATGAAATCTATTAAATGACTTATTTGTATCCTTTTCACTAAAGACTTCATACCACGAAAGACTTGACATACATTGTTGAAACTTGGATATATTAATCTTAGAGTAGTCTCTTTTTTTAATATACCAGTAATCAATTTTTTTTATTTTTTTTTCCTGAAAATGTTAATGTCTGTCCTGTGTCATGATCAGATAGCTCCAGTTTATGTACATTGCCTACTGCGTTCTTTATATTACTAAAAATATTGTCGATACATGTATTTTTTCGAGTTGGTTCTTTGATATGAAGCTTAATATTATGATTAAGAAGTATGTCATTTAGTCTCGATGTCGAATTGTTATCTTTTAAAATGTCAATGTTTATATCCCCGGCAATTATTATGTGTTTACTTTTCTTGGTCAGTTTGTGTAGAAGCAATTCAAATTTGTCCAAAAAAATTGATACATTGGAGTTCGGTATTCTAATATTTTCTATTATTTTCGGTATTCTAATATTATATTCGGTGAGTACGGAATAACAGTTGACAGGGATTTGTAGACTGCGCCGACTACAAATAAATAGGAAAAGGCAAGGCAATGATGGAGCGCCCTCATAATATTATTATTATTGTACTTATTTATTATATAATTTAAGGGTATGTTTGAAAATATTCATTTTCAAATTCTATATCATGTATAATTTACATTATATTTGGTATTTCATTATATTTGGTATATAAAGCATATTTCACTTCATATCATTTATAATTATATGAAGTGAGTAATTAACTAAATTTATTTTTGATTGTTTCCTTTTTTCTTTCCAAAATAAACAATTGTAGATGTGTATGAATATCGTACAAAAATTTTAAAATAATATTGAAATGAAATTATCTTATTATTATTGAAAATATCGTAAATAGAAATAGCTAAATTGACAATCTGATAAAAATGTAATATAATTTTGTAAATGTGCCATTTTGGAAATAAAATCGAGTGTATTTGTAAGGAGATATTCTGTTTAAGTGTCATTAGTCTAAGAAACAAATACAGTTTATCTATTTTCAGTGGACGAAACAAAATTAGCGTTGCCTGTGTTAGTCTACATTCACGGTGAAAGTTACTCGTGGAGTTCTGGCAATCCGTACGACGGCGGCGTACTGTCAAGTTATACAGACTTGATTGTAGTTACGTTAAATTTCAGACTTGGAGTCTTGGGTGAGTAATGTAAGATATAAGGCCGACCACATATTGGCTACTATTGCACGGTCGACAGTTGCATAAGCAGTTCTGTCACTCAATCAAGTAGCTGCATACGTTGTTGACATGCTTAGAGTACTCGGATGTCCACTTTGTCATTTCAACAAGTGAGCAACTGTTGAGAATGGTTTACTTAAGCAACAGTATCGAATTTGTGGTCCGCTTTAATCTTAAATTAAAATTTGATTTCACATATATATAATATAATATTATTTACAACGACAATGTTAACGAAGCTAATACAGTTTTTAACTATCTTATGTTACTGGGATAATTAAAAATTTTGCTCCACAAAAAAAAAACTGACTCCAATCGTGCCAAGTTCAAATACTTTATTTAAAAAATTCAGTTATTTTCAATCTGCAAGAACTTTCATATAAAATAATAATTTTCCGTATCCATTCAGTCTTTGAATAAAAACGTCTTTGAGCAATCGGGGAACATGCATACAAAATTAAAGATTCCAAGGAATTAAGATCCTCCAAAATTTTTAAGTTAGTTAAAAGAAATAATAGACAAAATAATAAATATTATTTTACAGTTTACTAATATTGTTCTACTCGCAAAGTTTAAATAAACAAACGATTTGAATAGCATAATGTAAATTCACAATTAAACGAGATACAAAATACACATAATTAAAATAACGAATAATTCATACATTTATTCCAATGTTTCAAAGCTTAATTGTAAGATAACATTATAAAATCAAGTAAACACAGACAGTATACGTAAATACGTTAAAAACCGTTTCGTTTTCTTAACCAACAATTGAGTATTTGAACAATTTAGTATAAAAACGGAGCACAAATAGCACTTACGCCATTTCCTCTTCCACGTACTGGTGAGAGAGCGGGGCGCCGAATATCACGTCTTTAATATGCCCATATGCTTCCCCTCCTGGTTTTAATGATACACTCGCACGAGGTATTCGTACATTTTAACGTTTACCTACAGTCGAGATTCTGATAGCTTTTTTAAACACTTCATTCTCTTTGAAATTGATCATTTTGTACTCGATAACGTTGTACAAAATCATTTAGGTGAACGCAATTTTTATTTGCATTTTCTTATGAGAGTTTAAATAGCTGTTCTGTATCATAATATGAATCACTTACATATAGCCAAAGTCTAACAATGTCTATATATGTAATAACAGCTGCATTAAGTATCTATTTTCAACATTTATGAATAATGTGCTCACGATAGTGAAAATCTTATGTTTGTGTTAATCCAATATATATTTACCAGAGGGAAATATTACACAAGTCATCTGCTTGGATGTCTCTATCCCATTCGTATTTATGCCGTGAAGCAGTTGTGTTTGCATGGCTCTGTTTCGGTTTGAAGGGTTGGATATGACAGTGAAATACAAGATACATAGGCATAATACCTTTGTCGTCAGGAATGGCAACGCATGACATGCGACAGAGTGTACTCTGGCATGTCCATGGTACTTGTTTATGTTTATGGGTGACGCTTGTCATTTTCCAATAAGTGGACCGTCGGCTACTTTGGTATTCTAAATTTAAAGTTTTATCATTATGGTTTATATCTGAAATACTAAATTTGAAATAAATCGTTTCAAATATTTAATAGCAGTTAAGTAATAATCATTTAATTATTGAAACATCGTTACCAACCGAATGTTATATTATAAGTAGCAGTTATTGTTTCTATTTCTGACGACGAATTTTACGTAGTTTCTTAAAATTAAAATTTATGGAAATTATCTCATAAGTAATACATTATTTCGGACAGTCCAAAATTTGGAATTAATTTCAACCTTTTGATATTTAATGCTCGCTTATTATACTTCTGTAAACTTTAAGTACTCGTAATTACAAAATTCTGAGCGGTATTAAAAATTAAAAATGAAGGAAGGGTTGATCAAAGGTTCCTTATAACAACTACTTAGATGAGTCCCCGTCTTTTGTCTTTGTGCAAGTTAAATTAAAAATGTGGCTTTTGCAAAAGTCTACTTGACTTACTATTAATAATTAAATAAAAACAGATATTTGCTTGATATTTGATCTTATGTACCTTACTTTAAGGTATATCTTGAAGTTTATTATATTGGATGTTTATTTACGGTTTAGGATGTTTATTTAAAAATGATCATACTTCGAAATCCATTCAGCAAATTCTCCTTATACGAAATGATGCAAAATCTTTGAGTAAACAAGGGATGCGAAAAACGTTCCGAGTATACAAAACGTCTCGCCTTTTTCAGTATTCGTCTTAATTTAAATTGTAGAATTAAAAAGATGTCAAAGTCTGGACATGATGTCTTTTTTTTTATTTCACAAAATACTTCGAATGTCAACGACACAGTCTCAAAACTTTTGAAACGCTGAAATACAAAATTAAATCCAGACTCACAGAAATCCTCAAAGTACGGCCTGTTAAGCGTGGCCTACATTGTGTCTCGGAAAAGTTTTAAAACCATTCGTAATGAACGGAACTTTATTTTCCTTTTTTTTCCGAATTTTTCGCTGCATAACAACTATGTAGATTTCGTAGATACACTGGGATTGTGTTTTCTTCCATTTCGTTTCGTTCGAATGAGATGCACTCCACGAATTAAAGTTGTCCCTTGGGTGGAACCAGCTCGATTCGTAGTTGAAACACAAATGAGAAATAAATTGGAATTCAAATGCTTTCATTCACTCGTTGTCTTTTTCACGAATACTTTCTAATACTATAGACGTAAAAGTGATTCTGTTTGTTTGATTTGACACTATTGTTTAGAGATTTAACTAGAAATCCAGTCGTTATAAAATTTCGTAATCAGAATAATATTTTAATTGTGTATTTTCGCTGTGTCAAAGTATAAAATAGATTATTTTTCATCCATGTTAAACAGGAGTGAAATAAGACCTAATTAGCAATGTTCACTAGTACATTATTTTGGGTTATTAAAAAAATCAATTGGTCCTCTCCACTACTAAACACAAGCCATTATCTTGAGGCATTCTACCAGTAGTTATCACGCTTGGTAGGCAGATTGGTAACCGCAGTTAGGCTTTAGAGATGTTTTAAGAGAGATATTGTTGCCCATTCCTCGCCCTCCCTTAGTCGTCTCTTATGACACCCATGGGAAAGGAAGGAGTGGTGTATTCTATGCCGAGACCACATGAGATATCATTCATTCCATAAATAATATTATTTAAACTTTATAGCACTAGAATATCTAAGACAGTGTTTTAATTAAAAATATAATTAGAGCGCTATATTGCACTGTAAATAAATTTCAGTTTCGCATTACAATATCCAGTAAGTTACGTACTGCAAATTTTGTATAAGAATAAAAATTGTGATTGAACTAATTTTTCTAAGTTTATTGTATAGTAAATTCTGTATAACATGGTGAAAATTTAATAAATTTATACCCCAAAAGTACGCTAGATGTTGAATAATTTAATTTAAATCAACACACGGTTCGTATTTTAACCTCTTAATAAAACTTGATTATTTTTATTATATTATATTATTTTATATAGATTTACTTTGTTTTACTGTATTTATTTTATAATGTTTTCACAGGTACAACTTTTAATATGTAAATATACTCATTTAAAATTAGTTAATTTTTTTATAAATACATCCGATACAAAATAAAAATATAGCGGAACAAAATAAAAGTAGGTATTTAAAATAATATCATATAATCAATAATCATCATCATCATATCAGCCATTATTTGTCCACTGCTGAACATAAGCCTCCCCATAGATTGTCATAAGGAACGGTCTTGAACCACTTGTATCCACTGACTTTCTGCAATGCTTTTAAGGTCGTCACTCCAAATAGTAAGGGTTGTCCTACTTTGTCTTTGCCTATACTGGGTATTAACTCAAGAACCTTTCTTTTCCATCAGTTGATAATATGTACATAGATACCCACTTAAAATTTGTTAAAATTCTAATAAATATACCTGATGGGAAAATTTTGAAACCGATCGTGTGTACGAATAAAGAAAATACAGTTGAACAAAATAAAAGTAATTAAAAAAAACAATGGCACTCCAGGAGTGCCGACAGAAGTGAAAACTTGAACAATTACGTGTGTATTTTTTGAATCGTCAAAAGCGTCGGTTACGGTAACAGTGTTGCGAATTCAATGGTTTTTTCCCATCTATAAAAATGCCAACATGCATGTGTATCTATGCACGTGCAGACACAATATATGTATGTAGATAGTTGCATACAGAGGTGTCAGTTATGGTAAGGGTAACAGTGTCGCGAGTTCAATGACTTTTCTCATTTCTAAAATGCCCAACGCGCCTAATGAAGTTTTCACTTCAACCATCATCATCATTATTTCAGCCATTTAACTGTCCACTGTTGAACAGAAGCCTCCTCTTTAGGAGGTTTTGCCAGTAGTTGGCACGCTTGACAGACGGATTGACAATCGCAATTAGACTTTGGAGATGTTTTAAAAGGGACCCTGCTGCCCATCCCTTGTCCTACCTTAGTCGTCTCTTATGACACCCAGGAAAAAGGAAAGAATGGCCTATTCTATGCCGGGACCACACGGCAAATTTCACTTCAATAACATCATATAATTAATAAACCTAACATTGCATGTTTTACTATATTAGACTTTATAAAACGTACCACGTGTTTTTTTTAATATTTTTTATGCAACTTAGAATGGCAAACAAATAGGCGGCTCTCCTAATGGAAAGTGGTAACCGTCGCCTATAGACATGAGCAGTGCCATGGACATAACAGAGTATACTGTTTCTCCCATGATGCCTCCCATGCGTTGCCTTTCCTGTGGACTTAGGTGTTATTTCTGTGTACCCTGTAAATTCACTGTCATAACCCACCCTTCAAACACCGAAATACAGCCATACAACTGCTTCACGGCAGAAACGTGAATGAGACCGAGTTACCCAAGCAAACGACTTGTACAAAGTCTTCCTCTGGTAAACTAGTTCTTCTAATTAGCTCTTGTAATTCAGATTTTCTAATTACTTTACTAATTAACGTTTATTTTCACAGGATTTCTAAACGCAAACCCGGCGCCTCATTTGAAAGCTCGCGTTGCCAATTATGGTTTGATGGATCAGATAGCAGCATTACACTGGGTGCAACAGAATATAGCGCTATTTGGAGGCGATCCAACCAACATAACACTAATGGGCCACGGATCAGGGGCCGCCTGTATCAACTTTCTTATGATATCACCCACTGTTATGCCAGGTTTGTATAATATTTACAATATTTTATTGAATTAGGTGTTATTTTGCGGAAGTACATATTACTGGTTATTTGACTAGAATTATTTTGTTTAATTCCGCTACCATTAGTGTGTGTGTGACTGCCAACAAACAATACAATATTTCTTATGAGACAAACATTTATATAGAGATTGTCTCATAAAACGTTCTGTTTTTTTTTCTATTTTAACTGACTTCAAAAAGAAGGAAGTTCTGAATTTGTTTGTATTTTCTTTATGTTTGTTACCTCATAACTCAGTCAATATTAAATCGAAAAATTCTTTTTTTAACTGAATCTGCCTTTAACTGTCCAATGATAAACAGAAACTTCCCCCTTGAAGGTTTTGCCAGTAGTTGCTACATTTGGCAGGCACATTGGCCACTGCAGTTAAAATTTTAGGAGAGATGCTGCTGCCCATATCTCGCCTTCCCTTAGCCACTTCTTTCGACACCCAGGAAAGGAAAAAGAAGGGGTGGTCAATTCTATGCCGGAACCACACGGCACATTGGTTTATTTAAATAATAAATAAACTTTATTTTTGCAGGATTGTTTCATAGAGCAATATTATTATCAGGTTCAGCTTTAAGTTCTTGGGCAATAGTGGACGATCCTGTCTACTACTCATTGAAATTGGCTAAACAAATGAACTGTAGCATACCGGAAGATTTAACAAAAGACCACGAAGTCATTGTGGATTGTCTCAGGGAAGTTTCTATAGAGGAGCTGCTATCAGTAGACATATCTCCACCGAATTTTTTAACAGCATTCGGCCCTTCAGTGGACGGTGTTGTTATAAAAACAGATTTTGCAAAAGACTTTCTGACTATGTATTCCACCGGTGATTTTCCAAGTTTTGGACCACTGAATAACATGAATGCAAATCTAAACACACATAAAAAGAGGAGTGATAGTGGAAGAAGATTATTTCAGAACAAATACGATTTATTGTTTGGAGTGGTGACCAGTGAAGCCCTTTGGAAGTTTTCTGCGCACGACATCCAAAATGGAATAGAACCGGAAAAAAGAGATCGAATGTTGAGGTAACTTGCTATATTGTTAAAAGTTTTATAAGTACACATTATATTTTAATGTAATAACTAATGGTTTAACTTAAGTGTGAGAAATCTCGACTAGTTTTGGGGCCATATGGGTTCCTTAGTTTTGAGCGACTGTGATTATAATGTAATAAAATATTTAATATATATTATAATTTGTTGTTATAGTAGTGAATTAAGATATTATGTACTATCTAATATGATATTTCTCTGTATGGTCTAATTTTGTATCATGCAGCATATAAATTTATTTAGCCTTTCAGCCGGAACCTTCCTAATATAATAAAATTGTAACTATACGATATCTGTACATATCAGATCTTAATGAGGTCAAAACAGTAATTTTTAGAAATTTTATCTGTGTTGCGAAATAAGGCAAAACTACTGCACCGAAATTGGATATGGTTTTCACAGTTATACCCCTGAAGGTCTTTTCTGGTGAACTTTTTATATCAATACATCATCTAGAAACGATCTACTTCACTGGTTTTTCTACTTGTGAAACCACGTGTAAGAAATAGTAGGCAAAAAGCTAGTCTATTATGAAAATCTAAACACCCAAACATTGAAATGGAATCAATAGTTTAATTTAAAATACAATAAGCAGTAACGTCGCTGAAATTAATATTCTAAATGACGCAGTCTTACAAAAAAAGGCTACGAAAAGAAAAAATTAGAAAAAGACGAATATAAATGTTTATGTAATTAATCAGGTTATATTACATTTTGGGGCTTAGTTCGTTTTATTAGTCTCAAGCATTTGCGAGTAGCGAGAGTAAATATTTAAGATTGAATTTTCCTAGAGGACTTGGTAGTAATTAAATTTTGTTACCTGAGGCCGTTCAAGACTTATAAAAAAGTTTCTGATTAGTTTTATAGTAGTGAAAATGTTATTATTTTTTTCTTTTTTTAATAAAAATATTTTTCTTGTTTCAGAACATACGTCAGAAATTCCTACACTTATCATTTGAGTGAAATATTCTACACTATTGTCAACGAGTACACCGATTGGGAAAGAACGGTAGAGGTTTGTTTTGATTATAAACGTAGAATAAGTTATAATGGGTTATGTCGGCTTTACTAACGTTTTAAATTCGGGAATGCCTGACTAATTTAGAAGTCAGTAGGAGCCCTCAATCGTGAGAACTGTTCACGGCTGTAACGCGACCAGCACAACGTGACCAGCACGCTGTTTGTCGCTGTATGTGCGCAGTAAGCGGAGCTGGTAGTGGTAGTAGTATATAATGAGTTCGAAGCTTGTCGGGCATTTTCGAATTTAAAACGTATGTAAAATCTATATAAATATTTACAATACGCTATGACTCACGATATTTATTTAAATGTATAATAACACTTGAGTCCTTAGGAATGGCAACGCATGGGGGGTATAATGGACGACACAGTATACTCTGTTATGTCTATGGTACTACTCATGTCTATAGGCGACGGTTACCACTTTCCATCAGTTTGTTTACAATTCTAAGTTGTAAAAAAAATGTAGAATAAGTCCCTCAATTTTTTACTTTTGCTGCATAGTATTTAATACTATGAAGGCTATAGTTAAGCTTTAAAGCCGCTATGGAGTAATTTAAATTCCCTAGCTAGAAGTATATTTGAAAGAGAGAGAAAAAAGAACAACAAGGTAATGGTTTTCATTATTAACAAACTTAATTAATCCAAAAGGTGGCGAAGGCTCCGCTTGTCAGAAGAACGACTTCGAAAATGTTCAGTGAATTGTACAAAAGTCGAGTGTTTGTTGACTACACAATAACAAAAGTTGTTTGAATATCTCCGATTACTCTCTTTAGAACTGGGGCATGTGTATTTTATTTTTAGAACTTTGTGATGTGATGAAATGCCTTGTAGTACTAGTTTCGACCCGCGACTTCGTCCAAGTGACTAGAATATATTAATTGACCTGGAGAAATATAGCCTTTGCCCTTCTTCATGTCGTATAGTTCATGTACACCAAATTATATAGTAATTGGGGGGAAAGGGATTGTTAGTAATGGAGACTGAGAATCCCATTGCTAGCAATATATCCAACCAAGTTGACCTCCTCGCGGTTCTCCCTGGAAACTATCATGGTTAATTCCGGATGAATTCATCATGATGGGCTAACTGGCCTGTTTTCATTCTCATCTATCACCCTTCATTGGTGCTCCGCCAGCGTATCCCGTTAGCGCAGGCCGGGTTACCATACCATTATCACCCATCAAAAAAAAAAATAGTAATTATGTATATGTTTAGCAGAGGACAGATAACAGCTGACATGATGATGACTTCAAGCTAGGATACCATGTGACAAATATCTGATAGCATAAGCCAAAATACCCAGACCCGAGCCTAATACCTACCGAGAATCGAACCCGCGGGCTTATTAATGCGAATTTATTAATGCTCGCCACTAAGCTGTAAATGCCATCTTCATGTGTGTTTATATTATAGTTAAGGCTCTAAGAGATAACAATGAAACAAATATTTGTAATACTAAAAGATTATTAATTATAATTTATTGGACCTTAAATAATTAGGGATGAATTTATTTTATTTTTATTTTATTTTATTTTTATTGGCACATAAAACAGATTACAACCATAAGAAACTTAAGTAATAATTACATTTGTGATTCGGCTAGGTTATAATCTAATTACATTATATGCACAGCTTGAGTAATTTATTAAAAGCAAACACATAATATAAAAAAGAAATAATTAAAATGTTATATAAATATATAAAAGATAAAACTATATATAAAAAAAAAACATATTTGAAAAATAAATTGAAAATTTGATAAATGAATAATGCAATATCTATATATTTTAGTTACTATATCTATGTATTGGTCTCGTAAAAAATATGTTAAAAGTTTGTTATCTAACAAATAATATTGGATAACAGATATTCCCAACTGATATAGGTAATATCGAAAAGGGTGATGACCTTTTCTCTGCCATCAATGCGTACAGGAACCTATATATATATATCTATATATATATATATATATATATATATATATATATATATATATATATATATATATATATATATGATTGACGTTTTCTAATAAGTGCAAAACTGACTTTATTCATTTCCTCAAGTGAAAACAGTCTTTCATAAGTGAATGAAATCCCAACGGATCCCAATGGATTAATGATCCGTTCTTAGTTGGATATTGTGGCTGGCATATCTAACATTACATTTCATTTGATTTATGTTATCTAAGAGCACTGAGAATAAAGGATCAGTCTATTTTCTTCTTCAGTTATAAGTTAACTAAAGTATATTTTTGAGTAAAAAATATGAGTATATATGTAAGTATGAGTACGGGCAAACGCATTATAGGACGATCCCCACTAGATGGAGTAACGAACTCAAATACATTGCAGGGAGTCTGGGATTATAGTTGGTTCAGGAGCGTTTCTTATGGTAGTCTATAGGAAGGCTTATGTCCAGCAGTGGACAGATAATGGCTGAAATAATGATGATGAAAAATATGAGATAAATGATCCCAAATATTTAGATAACGTCACTGTTAATCTTATGGCAAAAGTGTCTCTATAACTAGTATACGGTTTATATTAAAAGCTCTAGAAGCTGGGGCTTTGTCTGTTTTCTTAAGTTAGCATAATCCATTGTTACAGAATCCGATAAACACAAGAGATGCGACAGTTGCCGCATTATCGGACGCTCAGTACGTGGCACCGCTGGTACAAAGTGGGGACTTATTGAGCGGAGGGCCTAAGCCGGTATTGAATGACGAAGACGGACCACGCAGGCCTACTAAGACTTTCTTTTATGTTTTCGATTACCAGACGAAGGACGGATTTTATCCTCAAGTAAGTTTTGCGGATCCATATTTTATAGAAATTATTACATAGGCATATTAAAATTAGTGTCACAAATTACTGCGGATAGTTTTTATTTACGATTTATTGTAAAAAATCTGATGCTGCTGATCTGGTTATCATTGTTTTGCACCGTAACACCATCTACCGGGACTATTCTTTTATTGTAATATGAAATAATATATCTTTTTAGTTAGATAAAAATGGGCGGTTTTCGAAATGGACCGGAATGAACATCTGATTGAAGGGTTTTTATATATCAAGATTTTTTTTCTACTTATAAAGCAAATACATTAATTGTAACTAACATAGTCTAAAGAATAAGCAAGCTGATATAGCAATGGGTTAGTCTCATAGCTCGAAGAACCGACAATCGATGGGGAAGAAAGGTTCTTGAGTGGTGACCCCGTACATACAAATGCAGTGTAGGACGACAAGATAGTGTGACAACTTCCCTGCTAATGCATTGCAGGGAGTCAGTGGATGCAAGTGAGTCAAGACTGTTCTTTATGACACAGTCTTTGGGGGAGGCCTATGTTCATCAGTTGGCACATAATGCCTGATATGATGATGATGATGATGATGATCATGGTTACTTGTGTAAAACAATGCCTATTTTTAATTTAACATTAACCTTTAAGAGGATGGGCGCATCTCACGGAGAAGAATTGCCTTACGTATTCGGCGCGCCTCTGGTGGATGGATTCAGTCACTTTCCTCAGAACTACACCAAGTCTGAGGTGGCTTTGTCGGAGTCCATAATGTTGTTCATCGCCAATTTTGCAAGGACTGGGTAAATAATTTTACTGTTGATACTGTACATAGAAACAAAATTGAAATAATAGAAATATTATATAAATATAAATAAATTAAAAAGATCATCGGCTTATAAAGAAGTGATTCTGAAAATGAAATCTATAATTTGGGAGGTGAAAAAAAATAATATTTATTTATTTAAATAACTGAATTGATCAAAATAAAATAGGGTACAAAAAGCGGGTTTAAACCTAGCTAATAGCATTCTCTACCAGTCAACTTTTGGGATGAACAGAAAATCACGAACGCGGTACTTCGCAGTAGAATATTGAACTACTTTTTTAATTATCATTAGATATTTAGTTTTTCCATACGCCTTTTTATTTTGATATATTCAGGATTTAAACTTTAGCTGTAAGGATGATCAATAAATTCCCAATTGTATATGCATCATCATAATTGCATCATAGTTGTGGTGTGCACTGAAATTTAATATTAAATCCTTGCTTTATTGCTTAAGTTTATCTCATAAATGCTTTATGAAAATGAACTTTATAGTTATCGGAGCACGAACCGCTTTCCGTTGACGTTATCGTGTTTAAGCTTTCATCGTTTGAGAGTTTGCGAAAGTTGATAAACAGGTGTCCACAACAAACGACCTTATGCGGTTGACTTTGAACTGGATTTTGTTTGAAACTTTGGTCTGATGTTAATACTGCACTATATTGTTTTATCATAAAGTCGATTGTGCGGGTAAGGGCTTTCGCGCCATCTTGCTGTTATACATCAGAATAACTTCATAATATTTAAAATAACATGGCACGTGGCCTTTGTAAAAATATAGACGATCACTTCCTGAACGAATACAAAGAAAAAGTATCAGAAAAAACTGCTCTAGAACCTATCGGATATAAATTAAAATTTATAAGGGGTTGGAAGGAAAATGTTGTTTTATTGACAAGGGATTCAGCAATGGTAAGAGTATTAGCTGCAAAATACGAATTGTACTATCTTATAGGATTTACAAAAAACTTGTATTTTTTTATAAATATAAATTATTCGAGTTATCTCTGCTGTAATAATATTAGATCAAAGCTTTGATATTTGGTGTCTATTATATACCTGAAAGTAATTAAACGGTTGTTGCAGAAATCCAAATGACAATGCGCGACAGGAGGTACTGTTGCCAGCTTCAAGAGAAAGGAATAAATTCCGAGGTACGACATGGGAAGAATACGACTCTACGCATCAGAAGTACTTGGAAATTGGTAAGTAGAATACGGTTAATAATATTTTACGATTCGATCACGTAAAATATACAGATAAAGGAAAAAGTATGCTTATATAAGATCCGAGAGGATATCAAGAGCACAATGAAGTATTGTTTTGGATCTGCAAATAAATTTTATTAACGGAAGTCCTGGATTAGTAGATTAATAAACCTAAAAGATCTCTAATAGAATAGGTACTTGAAGTCCGAGGTAATGATTTGAAATGCATTGAAAATATGTAGCAAAATATATTTCTGCTTATTATGATCGAAATCGTCTAAACTCGTGTGGAGTAGTCAAGAGAGCGTATAAAATCTATTTTACATCTGCAATATTATTATAACTATGTCAAATCATTTAAAATATCATCACGATTGTTTACAACTATACACAATTTAAAATTAAATATGTATCATTAAACTTTTTGAACTTCCGATAACTTGATACTGATAATAGTCCATCTGGATGGTGAATATATAGATAAATAAATAAATAAATATTAGACTTTTAAAAATAATTTGTAAAATTGTTAAGATTATACTGTGAATAATTTTTGACGTTAACATAGCCACATAATCTGAGATGGGATAGAGGGATTTGCTTAACCGTCGTGTTGTGATAATGTATTATTCGAATAGAGGTTGAGCAAATTTGCATCCAACGTGGTAAAAGCCTATCGCTGTCATTAGGATCGGATTAGTGGGGTTTGTTTACCATACTTACCTTTGCGTAGAGTTAGTCGTATATTAAAATTAATGAGCACATTTTTAATGTGGATCCAGATCAGTATCCTATTTACTAATTCAATTATGACTAACTAATTATTGACACTTACGCTCGTAGACGATCAATTGCAATTTTGGAATAACAATGTAGCCCTAATCTCTTCATCAAATCAATCTCACCGTAAAATTATGTCAAAGTGTAAGTATTCATCCATAAGTATTATAAAATTATAATGGTATAATATTACGATCCTAAAATTGTAATTATTCGTCTACAAGATTTAATAAATGAAGACTCTGAATGTTATTAAGGCCATAATATTATTCAAGCCGGTTAAGTTATGGCTACTTCAATTCTAATTAGAATTAAAAACTTATTAGAAGGCGTTACGCGTTTGGGTTAATTAGGTTTAACGATATTAAAACTCCAGTCTTCTAATATTTTATACTTTATATTATAACAAAGTTTCATATCTTACTAGTCTCTTATTGATGTAATTTTAAAATTGAATATAATGGCATAAGTTAATTGCTTTTTAATTTGTTTAGGTATGAAACCTCGTCTCAAAAATCACTATCGGGCTCATCAGCTGTCAGTTTGGCTAAGACTGGTTCCAGAGCTCCACAGAGCTGGCATGGAAGATGTAGCAGCTAGACATAATTTATTTAAAAATCACAACGAACAAGACCTATACGAGGGTATAGTTAGACCAGATCCATTAGCTAGAAGCGCCAACGACAACGACCAAATTAGACGGGGGAATAGCTCTGTTTATTCAGACACAGCTCTAACGACAGTCGATACTATTTTAGCTACATGCGCCACTATTATGCCAAATGGAAGAGACCTGCAAACATTAAACAACACAGATAACGCATTGGCGAATTTAGAAGCTGCCGGTTATGCAGCATATTCGACCGCCCTGAGTGTGACGATAGCGATAGGATGTTCATTACTGATACTAAATGTCCTAATATTTGCTGGAGTATACTATCAGAGGGATAAGTCAAGATCGAGAAGCAAACAGCAGAGATTCAATGAGAAACATTTTGAAACTATATCGGGAAAACATTCGCATTATCATATAGATCCAACTCACGCTCCAAGCTTGGTGGTTGACGTCGAGAGACAGAATCGTAAAAAACAAATGATGTCGGACCCTCATTTGTCGGGTCTTAATTTCAAAGGGCCATTAGATATCTCGAAATCACCGCCGAGTCCATCGCTGAGTATAGACAATATGATATTGCCCAGTAAACTAGGTAGTAGGAACAGCAGTTTTAGGTTACCTAATGCGAGTTATCCGCAAGTGGGTGGGTATGCGACGATGCCGAAGAATTTGAACCAGTTTAATAACTCCCCGCCCTTACAAGAGTTGAGGCAACAGAAATTCCAGCCTCCAAACGGCTCGGCGGCGCAGGGCTCCCCGGGGAGGGAGGGGGATAGCTCAAGGGGCCCACCCCACGCCACCCTCAGGAGAGGCAAAGCTGCTCATGGCCCCAGTCTCCCGCAAGCAGCCATTGATGAAATGAGAGTGTGACAGTTAATTCCATCTAACTTTACATTACAGGATTAAAAAGTGTTTCTTGATCTTTTCAAAGTGTAATTCGTATGTAATTCGGATTGTGAGTGTAAATAGATGTATGATGGTTGGTTGAAATTTTTTTTAGAAAAATAAAAATGTTATCGATTTTCTCAGTCATTGGAATATGATTATCGAATAAAAAATCAAATGTATCATATTTTTTTTTGTTTTATTTCAACTTATAATGTGTGTATACAAAGAAATAAAATAACCAAAAACAACCTTCTGAATAGATGAAGGTTAAAAATAAAAGATAAGAATTACGAACGTTCTTCTTTATGGATAATTTCCTTAGGGAGAAAAATCTACATATACTTGAAATACACAAATATTTTAATGTCAACAGATATCTCTTTTAAAAACATTTGTATTAAATCCAACTCCACAATCGAATTGAATCTGACAACTGAGTAACAGTAAAATGAACTACTTTCAAAGATAGTGTAATTTGTAAAAAAATTTAAAATATTAAATAAGCAATCCTTATAATACCTTACCTTAGCAATATGGCTTACTTAATAGTAAATGATTATTTATTACCTTATAGATAATCAGGATACAGAGGTTACACGGTACAGAGGTATAACACCTAAGTCCTCAGGAATGGCAACGCATGAGGGGTATCATGGGCGAAACAGTATACTCTGTTATGTCCATCGTACTGCTCATGTCTATAGAATAGATGGAAAGTGTTAACCGTCGACGGTTAACACTTTCCATCAAGTGGGTCGTCAGCTTGTTTGCCATTCTAAATTGTATAAAAAAAATCTGCAACAATAAATAATAGATATTACTGATCTTAGGAAAATGACAGTTTGATGACAAGTCTGTATTCCGCAACAATTAGAGGCGAATTGTGGTATTTTGGAAGTCGTATAAAAATTATTTTAATCAGTATGTGATTTACTACCTTAGATAAATATATATCCAATATCTATGGATTAATTTACAATAAAAAAAAATAACAATTAAAATTTAAATATTTATAAGTCCAAATTGTTATTATAATATTTTATATATAAACAGGTAAACAGATACTCAAGAAATCATTAGGAAAATAAGTTATCTAGAAGCCCAAGTAAGGTTTCAAATAATTAACAAAATTAACATAAACTTAAATTAGATTTTCCGCATACCAATGTTATAAGAGTGACATTAATTCAAGGAAAATCGACATTTTGAAATACCAAATTGTCTTCGAAGCTTTTAATGGTGCATGAAGATATTTAACAGGGACGTTTTGATCGCTCATTGTAATCAAATAAAATTAAAATAATTGTATAAGAAAGATTTATAATACATTAAAATGTAAATTAGAATATTTTTTTTGCATTTTGAAATTATTATTGTGACAGATAAAAAAAATTAATTTATATTGTACTGAATTAGGTGCTATTTGGCGAAATACCATATCACAAGTTAGCTGAGTATAAATATATATTACGTTAGTGGAATTAAATAATAAAAAATAATCAACTAACCATTGATAAAACGAATTAAGTGAAATTATATAATTAAGTATAACATAAGTAAAACAATTTGATAGTACAAGATACGGAAATAATCTTTATTAGAAATCTAATTACAAATGTTACATATGCAAAATAGAAAGAAGTGTTATCGAAACAAAAAACTATAAGGGATTAAACTAAGTCAAACAAAATTATGAATCTCAAAATATTTCACTATAGTAATGATTCATCCAACTTATTTAATGATCTCGTATTATCTACATTTACATCTACACTAATATTATAAAGAGGAAAGATTTGTATTTTTGTGTGTATGTTTGTAATGAATAAACTCAAAAACAGCTTTGCCGATTTCCAAAATCCTTTCACTATTAGAAAGCTACATTCACTCTAAGTAATATAGGCTATATTTATTGCTAGAAAAGATTAGGTGTTATATTTTGGTGATAGAACAAAAGCATGTTCTACAATATTGAAGAAAATATCAATAACTACAAAATACTTCTGGATACTATATGTCTAACTTTTATGGTTATGTCACAATAACCACTTTTTAAAATGTTGTAAAAATATCCACCCGTGCGAATCCGGGACGGGCCACTAGTCTTCTTATAAAAGAGAAGTATCCATCTATTAGATCGCTGCTCATATTGTACATTTAGGATTTTATCTCGTGTTTTCCTTTACTTGTACTGTTGTATTTTGTTTTGTTTCCTTAATCGGCTCTTTCAAGATCTTGTGGGATAGAAAGGAGTAGCAAGAGATCGTTTCTTAAAACTTTTTACTATGCACATTTTATAAATAACACAAGCCAAAGTAAACAACTATTTTGATCTCTACTGCAATATACTTAAAGACTTTTCCTTGCAGCTGTCATACGAAAACTGTCTCAAGAGCTCGGTCTAATAGCTATGCGTCGCGGTCGCCTATAAACAACCCCATAAAAGGTCTTTATCTACATCATATGAAAATGTTAGTGATGTAACATTAAAGTGTCGATATTTTTTATGAATATGTTTATCTAAAATGGTATAGGTTTTATACAAAAACATAATCATATTTTGGATAAACTAAATATTTTATCAGCTTCTATATTTATGTGTATAAATACATACATAAAGTACTGTTTAATTAAAAACTCCACGTTTTTATGTGGTCTAATTATAAACTGTATTATCACATTTTATTTCATTGAATTATTCGTATCATAGAAAATGCAGTAGGTATTTTTTAGGTGGAATAATAATGATAGAAATCGTAATATCTAAGTTCAGATATCGTCATAGTCATAGAATACTGACGGATCTGACAAAGATTACATATAAAGATCCGTCAGTATTCTACGACTATGACGATATGTTTGACAAATTAAATGATGAATTACTTGAAATATAAATAGACTGTATTTTTGATAATAAGTAATTTTAAAAAAATAGCTATTTAATAGGATAATTACGAGCAAAAATTGATGACGTGACAGTTTAAGTTTCATTTTTTAACTTTGTCTATTGTTACCATGCTTATTAATTAAAAATTAAAAAACGACTTTAAGGCCAAGATATCTTGAAAAATATATATACATCATTATTTAATGTATAATGAATAATATATATAATATATAATCAATCAAAAATGAAGTCAATATAGAATCGTATAATATATAACTTAAATTCCTTAAATTCAAATATAGTGGCAAACTCCAAAATAATATTCTACTTGTATTGGCCTTCTATATCTAGTTTAGCTAATCATACGATGTAACAATCATCTGTACCATACCCAACCCATTATCGTCCCACTGTTACCCACGACTTTCCCCCTAATGTGGCAGTACTGTCGATAAAATCGTGCAATCGACGACAAAAGTTGGTAGTGCGAACTGAACATGCAAGCTATAATTAGGACGACAAGGAATAACAAAGTTTGTGCCAGATCATTAGTTTGTACGTTGTAAATTACCTTTTTATGATGACTTTGCGTTCTCTTACTATTAAAATAGCGTTGTGATTTTTACATCAAAATTGTCACAAATGATATAAAATGTGGTACAGTAAAAGAAATGTATATATAATCGAAATAAATATTTCAAATATTTTTTTAAGCAACTTAGAATAGCAAGCAAATTGACGGCCCACCTGATAGAAAGTGGTAACCGTCTCCTATAGACATGAGCAGCACCAAGGACTGACAGAGTACTGTTTCGCCCATGATATCCCTCATGTATTGCCATTCCTGAGGACTCAGGTTTTATTTCTCTGTACCCTGTAAATTCACTGTCATATCTCATCCTTTAAACCGAAACACAGTCATACAAACACAACTGTTTCACGGTAGAAACACGAATAGTTCAGAGGTGCTTAAGCAAACGACTTTTGTACAAAGTCTCCTTCTAGTGAATCTAAAAATATTTTTATTATATTCATTGTTGGATCCAACAATAACGTCGCTATTTATAGAGAATTTTGTACTTATTTGAAGTATTCTCAGATAAGCACCGAATAAAAGCTATTATTAGACATAGAGGTTATCGATAGTCGATAAACCGTTATTGAAATGTCTAGAACTTTGAATATATTAACTCATCTCAGTATACAGCATAGTCCTCGGATTATCATTCAGTGATGTCTTAATTTATTATAAGTGAAATAACTAGTTCAAATAAAATTAGACTGGTATCCTAAGTCGAGACTGGTAAACAATAAGTAGAAACATGTACTTTTTAATTTTATCCCATTCGTATTTCTACCGTGAAGCAGTTGTGTTTGCACGACTGTGTTTCGGTATGAAGAGTGGGATATGACGTGAATTTACAGGATACAGAGGAATAACATCTGAGTCCTCAGGAATAGCAACGCATGGAGGGTATCATGGGTGAAACAATATGGGTGTGTACTGTTATGTCCATGGTACTGCTCATGTCTACAGGCGACGGTTACCACTTTTTATCAGGTGAGCCGTCAGCTTGTTTGCCATTCTAAGTTGTATAAAAAAAAGAATGCATTTTATTGTATTGTATTATTATAAATATTATTCGGAAACTATTCTCAACTAGTAATCTATTTTTGTGTTCTAAACTATCGTCAACTTATTACTACCTCAAGTAATCCTTTGATTGTTTTTTTTTTGTTTAAGAGTTTCTTCTTGTCTGTGCAACTATTTTATATATTCTTTACCAGTCAGCATTATTCCAGGCTAATATTAAATGTAGTTACAAGTACTATATAAAAAAATGTGCTATAATCCATAGAAATAAAACTGAATCGAATGCAAACTCCTCTTCCGTAACTAAAAACGAAGCATTTGTCTAACAAGGTTTAATTTCTTGGAAAGGGAACGAGTTTTCGTTGCCAGTCGCAGGATTTATGGGGAGCGTTCTCATTGGCAGAAGTCTTTCAGTCGGTTAGTAAATCACTTGTGTTGTTCACGAATTGGGTTAGCTTCAATGCCGAATAGGGTGCATTTGCCTTATCTAATTAAACTTTTGAGAAATGTGAAAATAAACATAGAGCTTGTAACGTATCCAAATGTACCATGTTTCAGCATGAATATAAGATAAATAATAGAGAGTTTTCATTAATTTATTCGTTTATTATTATTTTTTTAAAGAATGATACAGATTATGAAGATTACAGTGTGTTTTTTTTTTATTTATTTTTTATACAACTTAGAATGGCAAACAAGCTGA